AATAATAATAATAATAATAAAAGATGGCATCAGCTTATCAGTCAAGCAGTGGGAAGCAAAAAAAAAAACATATTAGGATGGAGGAATGGACATCTAGGTTATGCAGTGCAAGCATTTCCTAAGACTGTTGTCTGTGATCATTTGGAGGGCAGAGTCTATACTCCCGAACTTATAGCTCTAGGGAAGAAATCTGAAAACAGAGCATTAATAATCTGTGTGTATCAGATACAGTTGGGTACAAATGGGAAAATATTATAAAGGGATAAACTCAGAAAAGAGTTGCCCAATTGGCAAGCTGACTCAAAGAGGAAAGGAAAGTCTAGAAATGTGGGGCTTTGCCAAGTTAAAAAAGCCAACGGCTTCTAGTCCCAAACAGAAATGGGATTTTAAAATTGGAGGGGCAACAGCCCAGTAAATCCTCTGCATTGGATAAAGTGACTTAAAGCAAAGATCGGATTAAGGGTTTGGCCTTTCTGCTCGAGCTTGGGAGGGACCTTGGGTGTGGTTACTGGTATGAAGAACTGGAGCAAAGCAAACTGTGCAGAAGCTTCTAAGTTCTTGAGGGCTAGGCATTGCCAAAGAAACCAAAAGTGAATGTTAAATGCCTTTGGTTATTCAAGACTTACAACACATTTTGTTTTACGAAAAAATATAGGGGAAAGTCTTTGTGACCTTGGGCTAGATAATGATTTCTTAGATGCGGTACCAAAAGTGCAAACCTAAAAGAAAATTTTTATAGACTTCCTCAAAATTATAACTTCTACTCTTTGAGACAGTGTTAAGAAACTTCATACATGAGACAAGTACTGAGAGAAAATATCTACAAATTATGTTGTCTGATAGAGAAGGCTCACAGCTTCAGTGCCTGGGTGGCTCAGTCAGTTAAGTGTCTCCCTTGATTCAGGTCATGATCCCAGGGTCCTGGGATCGAGCCCCACATCAAGCTCCCTGCTCAGTGGGGAGTCTGCTTCTTCCTCTCCCTCTGCCCTTCTACCCTTGAGCTCTCTCTCACTCTCTCTCTCTCTTTCAAATAAATAAAAAAAAATCTTTTTTGAAAAAAAGAAAAGAATGCTCACAACTTGAAATAAAGAAACAATTTAACAACCCAATGGACCAAAGATCTACAGAGACATATCACCAGAGAAGACACATGGCTGGCAAATAGACACATGAAAAGATACTCAATATCATCTATCTTCAGAAAAATGCAAACTACACACCTATTAGAATGGCAAAAATCAAAAAGACAAAATACTGAGTGCTGACCAAAAAAAAAAAAAAAAGAAAGAAAAAGAAAAAAAGAAAGCCACTGATGCTCCTCGCACGTTGCCGGTGGAGATGCAAAGAAGCATGGCCACTTTGGAAAACAATTTGGCAGCTTCTCATAAAATGAAACATGCACTTAACCATCTGACTCAGTAATTCTGCTCCTGTGTATTTACCCAAGACAACTGAAACCTTAGGTTCATATTAAAACCTATACGCAAATGGTCATAGTAGCTTTATTCACAATTCCAGCCCAAAGCCAGAATCAATGTGAAATCCTTCAGTGTGACATCCATACAATGCAATACTACTTGGCAATAAAAAAGAAAGAACTCTTGATACACACAACTACCTAGATGCATCTCAGGACACTATACTGGGCTAATGATGCTTGACTCAAAAGCTACATACTGGGATCCCTGGGTGGCGCAGCGGTTTGGCGCCTGCCTTTGGCCCAGGGAGCGATCTTGGAGACCCGGGATCGAATCCCACATCGGGCTCCCGGTGCATGGAGCCTGCTTCTCCCTCTGCCTGTGTCTCTGCCTCTCTCTCTCTGTGTGTGACTATCGTAAATAAATAAAAAAAAATTAAAAAAAGGCTACATACCATATGATTCCAAAATAAATCACAGATTTCCAGGGTGGGTAGCCAGAGGAGTTGACTACAAAGAATGAGGGAAGTTTCAGGGTGATGGAACTATTCTAAATCTCTATTGTGGTGGTTGTTATGTGATGATATGTTTACCAAAACTAATATCGCTGTCCACTATACAAAGTGGACATGCCTAACTTATACCTCAATTTCAAAAGTATTTTTTAAAAGCTCGTGGTGGGTAATGGATAATTGCTTAGCTTTAAAAACACTCACACACATGCACATTTAAGCCCTCAACCTTTCCTTGAGATGGAGGTGGACTTCAAGTCCACACGGTCCCCAAAGAGGGCATCGTTTTCCAACAAACGCTGCAGATGAGGCCAAGGAGAGGGATGAACAAAGGAGAGCCCCCAGAGCGAGCGGGGAGCCAGGAGCCACAGAGTTATCTCCTAGAGACCAGCATTGGGCCCTAACCAAGGGCAGTCTGTAGTCTCCAGTGCAAGGACCCTTCACAAAGTCCACAAGACAGGAAGATTTCAGACTTGCTACAAATCAGGAATGCTACTATCCCCTCATCACCCATTTCCTACAGGAAGAGTTTTTTGCAAGGCTACAGCACTGTGTGTTGGAAGTAAAGGGGACATGTAGCTTATCTTTTTGGTTCATAGCTCATACCCAGAGAGGACCTGTCCAGAGGAAGCCTTCCACTCTCATCGGATAATGACATGAGCAAGAAATCAACTTTCATTTTCTTAAGCTCCTGAGAGAGCTGGTGTGGGGGTTGTCTCAGCAACCAGTGCTGTTGTTTCTACTGACTGATACACATGGTCATATTTAAGGAAGTATGTAGCAAGCTGGGTGTGAGCGCATCTAGCATCTGAGCCAAGTCAGGAGGCTGGATGACATCCGAGGAGCTCATTTAACTTCTGCAGGAGCACAGGTTGTGTGGAAATGGGCCAGAGGTTAGCGTGAATGTGGTCAATCAGAGCTCCTGAGTGCAGGGTTCACCTCGCTCCAGCAGCAACAGTTTGAACAGATAGGTGGATCCCAGAATGACCTATTCCATAAAATACCGGGTCCTGCTGCAGAAAGCGGGCATGTAGGAGCCCAGGGACAGGGGTCTGGGAACAGGTGGGCAACATCTGGCTAGTCTGTTGTTCATTGATTGATCAGAGCCAGAGCCAGGATCCAATTTCTGGGGGGAAGTTCCTACAAGCACAAGGCAAAACCCAGCCTGAAGGGACTGAAATGACCTGGGTCGTCAGGAAGCACCTGCAATAGAGAAACCTGATTCCCAAACCTCAGACCCACTTAGGAAACCAGGACCTAGGATAAGGCCGAAACCCAGAGGCCAAATGACTCACAAAGGCAGGATGGATTAACCCCTCCGACAGGCAATGCTGAGCAAAAAGTGGAATGCATCTTGCACCCAGCCTCTACCAGCCAGGTGACACTGGTCCTAGAGGACAGCCTTGGGGTTAAGCAGGAGAATAGGGGTGAAGTGATCTCAGCTGGAGGGAGAGGAGCTCAGGAGATGCAGGAGTCCAGCAGGACCTGGTATTTAAAGTCTCTTTGTCAGAGCTGTATCCTGTATATCAAAGTTCCCTAAAGGGTAACAAGGGGTGTGAGTGCCTTGGTGGAAGCTCTTTGGTAAGAGGGAAACCTAAAGATTAAAACAAGCCAAGAAAAATATGGCTTTCAAGAATAGCCTACCATATAGACAGAGCTATGAATGGTCACCTATGGCAGGATAGGAACTAGATTATGAGTTCCGTGAAAATGAGACCAGGAATCTTTCTGTCCATGTGTCTTGCACACTGCTTGGCTCCCAAGATGTATGGACAGGTAAGTGTTTACTGTCAAAACAGAAGTCACAGAAAACACATTTTATTCTTCGAGTGATTAAACAGCCCTTCATGTCCACAGAATGATGAAGTTTATAAGGTGCATTTCTCAAAGCCCTTAGAGGCAGATATCCCTTCTCTTCGGGTGGCTGATGCAGAAAGGGAGGCTCAGCATGGGGGGGGGGGAGCAGAAATCTTACTTCTCCAGAGCAAGGATTCTCCTGCTTTACACTACTGACATTTGGGACCAGGTAATTCTCTGCCATGGGAGATGGCCCATGTGTTATAGGATGTTAAGTAGGATCCCTGGCCTACTGGTAGATGCCAGTAGCAACACCCCTGTACAAGTTGTGATTATCCAAAATGTCTCCAGTCATTGGCAGATATGCCCTGAAGGGAAGGGTGGGGGCTAAACTTTCTGAGGATCACTGCTGTAGGTGGATTAACTCACATGCCTGAGGAAGGTGCTGGGCCACAGTCCCTTATCTCAAACCCTTGGGGCCTGATGTAGTTTTAAATCCATAAGATTTTAGAAAGATAAATACACAATATCCCAGTGGATTCTGGGGCTGCCTCCCATCATCCCAGACATTACTATTTCTACAGCAAAATGAATGAATATCCGCATTAAGTAGGATAAATGAAGATTATAAATAGTCTCACATCAGTTCGGGTCAGGTTTTGCCGCCAAGTGAGTTTGCTATAAACCTGTAAAGGAATTGACTTTTGGAGCTCTTTGGCTTTCAGAAATAGAGTACAGTCCATGAGCAGCAGCCACACGGAGAGGTCAAGTGACTGGCAGGCATCATGCGACTATTACCATGGACAGCGGTTGACCCTGGAGAGCGGGTACTCCCCACCGAGGCTCTCACCCACCTCTCCTAAGTGCCCCTAACCTGCCAGGCCCCACGCTGGTGCAAGCAGGTCCTTGGCCCTTGGACAGGTCTTACCTGCTCCCCTGCATGTCCAGCATCTTTGGGAACCCTGCCTTGATTTCATTGGTCATGTTCTTATTCTATTTCAGGTTGTCTCAGGGCATGATCAAGCTTTCCACAAGATGTAAGGTTACAGAACCAAAGACTGAGGAAACAGAGGATAAAAAGATGGGGAAAAAAGGGAGATGTCTTGCAGCCGGAGTCCAGCTAGGAAGCAGCTTCAGGAGTTTTCCATGCAGGTCTAATGGTGCTCTCTGGCAGGGAGATGTGATGCCCCCTGCACCAGCCCATGCTGCCCTCACTTTGTCCTGCTGGTGAGACCCTATTCTAGAACAAGCCTTACAAGGTCACGTCTGTTTATTTAAATATTTGTCCCCCAAAACCGAGCTGTGAAAACCATCAACCTCACCCAAGGCTGGGGACACGGACTTGCCTCCAGCTGGAGAAGCGAGTCTTCTGTCTTTGCCACAGGGACCAATCAGAGGATGAGATCATCCATGGGGTGCGGGCGCCCATGGTATCTGGCCATCTGGGGGCCCCTGCTTCTCTCGGCCGGCTGTGGAGGCAAGGGAGATTTTTTTCCAGAGCTTGGTGAAGCTCCATATGGTCGAGATCAAAGGTGTTGCTGGGTGCATGGTTCTGCTTTATTTCCAAGCACTGCTGTTAATTAGAAAACAAGATCAGAGGCAGTATTAAAATCCAATTAAATTGATATGAACAGATTGCCAAGTGATGTTCACTAATGTATAATTGAGCACCATGCAAATTTCGGTGGCTGGCTTTTGTGTTTTTCCCCCACACTCTGGAATGAATGATGAGGCTATGAAGTTTCCCTTCATTGTAAAAAACAAACAAGTTAATGCATTGATCTAGGGGGTATTGCCCTGGTGATTGATGGAAATGAGAGAAGAATAGTAAAGTGTGACTTTTTGAAGGGAGGGGCAAGCTTTCTTTGATTCTCTCTCTTTTTCCTGCCTTTGGTTCCTTATTCATTTCTTATGCTGGGGTTCAGGCCAGCTTTCCACCAACATCTCATCTTCAACAATCCAGAAAAAGTTCCCCTGGATTTCAAAGATGGATGGGAACCAAATTTTGGAAGTTTGAAGCCCAACGCCACAGATGAAAAAAAAAAAAAAAAAGATCTGTGTGCAGATTTTCTTTTGGTATGAATTGCCTGTTTGTGTCCTAGTGTATTAAGAAGAGGAAGGTTGTCCTGATTTGGGCTCCTGAGCAAAACCCCCCGGAATATAAAGTGTGGGAGAAGATGGGGAGGGAAGCCCAGTGTTACCAACAGAGGGGAGTGGGCCACCTTCTGAAAAGAGGCCTTTAGCATGGGGCATCAGGAGTTGCCTGTTACTGTTGCAAATTGTTTGCTCACTGTGGATACAGCAGGTTTGTGAGCATTTCAGTGCTAATGGTAAAAAAAAAAAAAAAGAAAAGAAAAGAAAAGAAAAGAAAGAAAGAAAAGTACCACCAAGGAATGGAAAAAACACAACTGTGGATGGCAGTGTCTACATATTCATGATATGCTTGTAGCATTTGGGGTTTTGTTTTAACTCCCTAAAAAGAAAGGAAAATCTAGACAGCTCACTCCCAGAATGGCAGCTGGTGAGCAAGGCAAAGATAAGCAAGAGCCGGGCCTTGACCTTCAGGCATCCAGAAAGGGGAGGAAGTGTGAACAGACAGGTAGCATGAGACACAGAGGGAAGGTGAGGCCGCTTCTCAGCAGCCTTCCCCTCAGACTTGAGCTTGTTCAGAGACCACCTGCCCCCCAACCATCCTGGTGAGTCCAGAATAGACATTTCATTGTTCCCAGAACGGTGGGAACACTACTGCAGAAAACCAGCTCAGTGGCCATAAGTTTCACCCCCTCGACACCTCCACACTCTACCGATGCTCTAGGTCAGCCAGCAGCTCCCATGACAAGCTTACCTTACACTTGCTTTGACAACAACCTGAGCTTCCAAGCGTTGTGGGTCTGGCATTCTGTGTTTGTGGGGCACCGTGGAGCACCGTGGGGCACCGTGAAGGATAAATGTGAATATAGCAGGGAAGGGGGACACACTGCACATCTCCTCTGCTCACACACATGCTCCACTGTCCCACTGGATGCCGCTTACAGGTTCAAAGGTAAAATTATTGCAAATCTCAAGACAGCCAGAGCAGAGAATTAAACCAAGCACAGGGCCCTCTGGAGCATGAGCCCTGTGTTGCCTACACATGTGAAAAGCCCGTGAAGCCAGCCCTGGAATTGGTGCTGCTGTCACAGCCGCCTCTCAAGGCCATGTCATCCAACCTATGGCCTGGAACCCCAGGCACCCCAAAGAGGTCTGTCTCTCCAATGGCAGCAAATCCCCGTGGCTCATGGTGCTCTCTATTCAATGCCAAACAACTCGATTTTAAAGATCCATATTTCTTCTAGGTGTTTGATCACTTCAAACACCAGGACTAAATTATTTTGTACCCAGTCTTATTCCAAACGTGTCCACAATTGATTTAGCAAAATATATTTAGTAAGATAAATATAGATAAAAAACTAACTCAATAGACATGAAGGGACACGACCATTATCAATATCATGGTCTTTACCTGCTACCAGATGATACGATGATATCCGAAGCAATTTTTTTTTCAACAGAATAAATAGCACTACAATGAAAACAGTCAGTGCCTAATAATTGTAGAATGAATGAAATGTGCATTTGTCTAAAAAACACATCTTTCAATGGACAACTAATTTTTTAATCAATGAGGAAAACTTGAGAAAATGTAGGGTTTTTTTTTTTAAGCTACAGGACTTAATGTGTTTATCTCATGTGATGCTTAAAATAAATTTTCAGTGTAAGCTATTTTAGCTCTGTCTGGCCTAGGAACGCCTGAGAAAGGGAATGACTTGCCCATCATAGCATGTAAGAGACAGAACAGGCTTCAAACCCAGTTCTTTTCAATTCCAGGATTTTCCATGACCTCAGCCCTTGAGGTTATGAAGTAAGCAATCATTTTGGATCAGAGGAATTGTAAAAAAAAAAGGAAGAAAACTATCTGTGATTCCTCAGAGTGCAAATCGGTGAGTACCTCTGGCCAGAGCCCCAAGAAGAACTGAAGGCTCTGACGAGCCAGCAGGGAACAATATCGTCAGGAAACCCAGTCAAGATCTAGAGTCAGGACCACAGAGCTGCTCCATAAAGTGGACCCATATTTTAATTAGGGTGAGGTGCACTTGCTACATGCAGCAAGAAAAACACATTTGGAATCAACCGCAGAAGATGGTTAATGAGGCTTCCAGACAAACCATATAAAAAACACAGGCTTGCCTCTTTCCTAATACCAGGCAACAGAGACGGAGGGCAGATGAGATCTGAGTTGCTTTACTGGAATTAGCGTACAGTGAGGCCTGGAGACACCAGTTAGAGCAGGTGGGCTTTGCAGTCCAGCATCCTGTGTACTGAATGACTAAGGCCTGGGCAGCCCAGACAGCAGGGAGAGGCATGGCAGGGCTCTCCCAGACCCTCCCCTGCAGGTCGCAGGAACTCAGACTTCACAAGGAGGCCAATGGCTTCTTCCCACTGGTGAAGCCCCCAGGTCGGTTCTTGGACCCGGGTTGCTCCCCGGGAGCATCTCATCACCTTCCACTGACAGTCACAGGTCATGACAGGGAGAGCCTACTGGTGTCCTTGTCCATGGAGGTCTCTCCACATCTCCCAGTGGGACTACCATGGGAGCAGCACATGCTCAGAAGCAAGAATGTGGAGGAGCCAGAGGACCCAAGGTTCTCCTCCCAACCACCATCCTGGGAAGCCTGGTATATGCTTTCTTTTCTCCTCCAGCACTTCCTTCACTTTGCAGTGAATTAATCACTCATTAATCACGTGCAAAACATTCAGCCAAGTTCTGGGGCATAAAGTTGTCTGCAGGAGCTCAGAGCCCCATAGGGTGAGGTCAGGAGAGGAAGGTTATGTGGAGCAGGCATGGAGATAGAGGGCTATGAGATGCTGCACACCTCAGGGCCCAGTGCACTCCTGGAGGAATGTGGGGCTCGGTGACGCCTTCATCAGCCCTACTCTCCATGCATCTCATGTCCTGTACTCTTGCCTCCAGTGAGGCCTAGCTCTTATCCAGAGCAGGCAGGGCATTTGGGAGGAGCGGAGAATAGCCTCAGAGGGGCCAGTGGCCAATTCCAAGGTCTCCTTCTGATGAATCATCATGTCCTAGGGCTCCTTGCTCAAACCAGAGATCAGCATGGAACCCACATATCCAACATTCAATCTGTGATACCCAAACAAACCCTTCTGACTCTAGGGTTCAGCCAGCTGAAATCTGTGGAGAAAATGGCCTTAGCTCATCAGCTTGTCCTCTCCTATGGAGGATAGGGGAGGCTGTCTTCCACTTGCCCCTCTATGTGGGACTCTGGCCGTCATGCTTCTGGAGTGAGCAACATCCACAGAAAGTGCATGTGTCAGACCTAACACCCACTGGGCCATTTGTGTGGCTCTCTCTGAGCCTCAGTTTTTAAAGCCATAAACTGGGACCACCAGCTTGGCTATTCCAGGGTATGATGGCTATGAGAATAGGGAGAAGAACCCTATTTGATTAGCTCAAACAAACAGGGACAAAGGGATGAAAGCATGATTAGAACAGGTCACCGTGAGGGCACAACAGGAAATTTCAGAAAGGAAACAAAGTGTAGCTGAAAGTCTTGGGGTCTGGTCTGGAAAACAGAAAGTCTGTGTCTCTATAGTTTTGCCTCCCCCTTCCCGAGATACACACACACACACACACACATACACACACACACACACACACATACACACTCCTTTCTCTCTTTCCCCAGGGCCTCTTGGTCTTTCATCTCTGCTTCTCCCCCCTCCCTTTCTAGAGATCACCTTTATCTGTTGCTACATGAGCCACCAAAGGCACCTCTCCATGGCTTACAACCCCTCACAGGCCAAATCCACAGAAATACCAAATTCAGTCTCTTTGTGTTAAGTCGAAGAGTAATTTCTCTCTCTCTCTTTTTTTTTTAAAGATTTTATGTATTAATTTGACAGAAAGAGAGAGATCACAAGTAGGGGTAGCAGCTGAGGGGGAAGGAGAAGCAAGCTCCCCACTGAGCAGGGAGCCCAACATGGGGCTCGATCCCAGGACCCTGACATCATGACCTGAGCTGGAGGCAGATGCTTCACCAACTGAGCCCCCCCCCAGGCGCCCCCCAAGAGTAGTTTCCAAGAAAACCAAAGCAAAACTTGCAGTCAAGTGAGGTGTCCACCCTGTCCTGCCAGCTGAGGCCAGAGGAGAAAGGCCATGTGCCCAAAGGCTGCCTCTTCAGCTCTGTGAGCAAGTCAGTGCAGGGCCCCCAAGGTGATGCATGGGCGGGGTGGCCTCTCAGATGATGACTAGGCCCCCTGAAGGGCTGATGTGGATATGACACATGCACAAGTTTGGTGCCTGGTGGGTCATTCATCCACCATCACCAAAATGCCATGACAAGGGAGCTCTATAATTGAGAGCCCTTCTGAGCTGGTACCTGCAGATGTTAATTCCTTCCTCCCCATCCCGTGTCTGTCTATATCCAGGCTTTCATCTCAAAATCTGCCACCACCTGCCTGATGCTGCTCTCCTGGTTTCCTGGGCTGGGGTCCTGGCTCCTTCGTGGGATGGTT